GCAAGTCCCTCAGCCCCCTGGAGGGAAATAGCAATGGATTTTATAGTGGAATTGCCTGAAAGCAATGGGAATACTGTTATCTGGACAGTCACGGACCTATTTTCCAAACAGGTGCACTTTATCCCTTGCCAACAAATTCCCACTGCAAAGGCCTTAGCAAAACTTTTTATCCAGCACATTTACAGATTGCACGGGGCACCCCAACGCATCATCTCTGATAGGGGAGTGCAATTTACGTCTACATTTTGGAAGGAATTTTTATCCCTCTTAGGGACCACTCAGGACTGACATCTAGCCATCACCCTCAGACAGATGGACAAGCGGAACGCTGCCAGTCGGTACTTGAGCAATATTTGAGATGTTTTTTAAATTTCCAACAGAGTGATTGGATGGACTTACTTCCTTTTGCAGAAGTTGCCTACAATAATGCAGTCCACTCCAGCACAGGCTACACTCCTTTCAAATAGCCAACGGTCAAAGTTTCAACCCTATGCCAGAGTTAACCCCAAAAGAACCAACGATCCCTTCACTGAAAGAATGGATGGAAAACCTACAAAACACCTGGCCAATAGTCAGAAAATCACTAGATGAAGCTAGGCGGGCATACAAAGCACAAGCCGATAAAAAAAGTGTTGAGCCTACACCATTCATTATAGGAGAAATGGTTTACTTATCTACAAAATACCTAAAGTCCCTGCAGCCCTGTAAAAACCTTGGACCAAAATATATAGGACTTTTTCCAATTAAAAGAATCATAAACCCAGTAACAGTAGAATTAGAATTACCCAAAAATCTCAGGCCAATACACCCAATTTTTCATTGCAGATTGCTGAAAAGAGAGCATCAGTCACCTCTACGGCCAAAAATCCCCCCCCCACCACCTCCAATCATGGTGGAGGGGGAACAACACTTCGAAATAAAAGAGATCCTTGACTCTAGGAGATATCGTGGGACAACTCAGTACCTAGTTGCCTGGAAACACCTCCCTGCCTCACAAAATGAGTGGGTCCATAAACGTCACGTCAGAGCCCCGAAGCTATTGAAGAAGTTTCACACAGAGTATCCTAACAAGCCTAACTAAATTTTGTACGTGTGTTTTCTTTCAGGTGGATCTCTCTTATTGTTAAGAGGGGCCGGATGTCAGAATCCAATTATATTTCATCTTTAATTATCAAACATAGAAACTCCCAATTCTGCCTTCTCTGGATTCTGCCATAAGAGGGAGAAAAGGGGGGGAGCAAAGGGGCTTTATGGCCCTCACTTCCTTCAGCACACTTCAAAGGACTGAATGTGTGTTTATTGTGGCCTCTAAGCTTTAACATATCAAAGAAGAGTAATTGCCTTTCATGTAGTTATCTGAAGTCTCCATACAGACGGAAGAAGAAAGGGGATGGAATTGTGATACTTGAAACTATCACTGGAAGGGGGGTTGATTGGGTGGGACTACTGGGGAACCCCTTAAAACCTTGAATGGGAGAGCTTGACCCCCAAGTCCTGTCTAGCATGCCTGCAACCATTTTCTCTTAATAAAGGATTCCTGTTGGAAGAGCTATTCCAAGAGTTCTGTCTTCTTAAGATGCAAAGTGGGGGGGGTCCACACTTCCTCTCGTCTTTCTTACGCCCTCACTTTTCTACCTCCCTAACACCCAATCCAGCCACCACTCTCACTACCTATCTCCCTCCTACCCAATTACTTTCCTTCCTTTCATTGATCTTTTCTCTGCTCCTCCTAAACTTCCTTCCTCCATCCTAACCCACTACTCCTTCACTCTCTCCTGACTCCCCTTCCTTCCTCCCTCATTTCTTCCCTCCCGCCCTCATTTACTTACTTCATTCCTACCCAATTAATTCCCTCAATACCCGCAATCTTCCTTCCTTCTTTCGTCCTCTCCTAATTCCTCGCTACATCCCATTCCTTTCCTTACTTCGTCCTTACTTCCTCCCTCCTACACAGCACTACTTCCTTCCTTAATATCCCTTCTTCCTTCTTCCTTCCCCCTCCCTCTTCCTCTCTCACTCCCACACTCTTCCTTCCTCCTTCCCTCCCTCCCTTCTTCCCCCCCTTCCTTCTTCTTCATTCATTGCCTTCCTTCCTTCCTTCCTCTCTCCTTCTTCCCTCCCTCCCTCCTTTCCTTCCTTCCTTCCTTCCTCTCTCCTTCCTCCCTCCCTCCCTCCTTTCCTTCCTTCCTTCCTCCCTCCCTCACTCCCGCATTCTTCCTTCCTCCTTCTCTCCCTCCTTCCCTTCCTTCCTTCCTTCCTCCCTCTCTCCTTCTCTCACTCCCACACTCTTCCTTCCTCCTTCCCTCCCTCCCTTCTTCCTCCCCTTCCTTCCTTCCTTCCTTCCTCTCTCCTCCCTCCCTCCTTTCCTTCCTTCCTTCCTTTCTTCCTTCCTCCCTCCCTCCTTCCCTCACTCCCGCACTTTCTTCCTCCTTCCCTCCCTCCCTCCTTCCTCCCCTTCCTTCCTTCCTCTCTCCTTCCTCCCTCCCTCCCTCCTTTCCTTCCTTCCTTCCTTCCTTCCTCCCTCACTCACTCCTGCACTTCCTTCCTCCTTCCTCCCTCACTCCCGCATTCTTCCTTCCTCCTTCTCTCCCTCCTTCCCTTCCTTCCTTCCTTCCTCCCTCTCTCCTTCTCTCACTCCCACACTCTTCCTTCCTCCTTCCCTCACTCCCTTCTTCCTCCCCTTCCTTCCTTCCTTCCTCTCTCCTCCCTCCCTCCTTTCCTTCCTTCCTTCCTTTCTTCCTTCCTCCCTCCCTCCTTCCCTCACTCCCGCACTTTCTTCCTCCTTCCCTCCCTCCCTCCTTCCTCCCCTTCCTTCCTTCCTCTCTCCTTCCTCCCTCCCTCCCTCCTTTCCTTCCTTCCTTCCTTCCTTCCTCCCTCACTCACTCCTGCACTTCCTTCCTCCTTCCCTCCCTCCCTCCTTCCTCCCCTTCCTTCCTTCCTTCCTTCCTTCCTTCCTTCCTTCCTTCCTTCCTTCCTCTCTCCTTCCTCCCTCCCTTCCTTCTTTCCTCCCTCCTTCCCTCTACGTCCCTCACTCCTGCACTCCTCCTTCCTCCCCTTTCTTTTTTCCTTCCTTCTCCCTCTCTCCTTCCCGCACTTCTCTTCCTCCCTCCCTTCTTTCCTTCTTCCTTCCTTCCTTTCTGACTTTCTCTTTTTGATTTGTTTTATGTTGCTTAATCCATTTCCTCCTTGCTCCGTCCCACCCATCTGTGTGAAAAAAAGCAATGGAAGCTAATCTAATGGACAATGTAGGACACCCCTTACATGGATCCCAACTTCCTGTTGCCATTTCCTTCTTCGTGATTCAGCCTGGAAATTCAGACAGGAAGTCCCTGAGACAGGAGGTCCTGTTTCCCTCTGATATTGTGTGCTGCAAAGCCGGCTCTCTTAACAGCACTATATAAACACTTGTCACAATTGTCTAGACAAGCAGTTTTTTTTTTTTCCAGGACACCAAGTGTGCATCCCCCCCAAAAAAAAGAAAGAAAGAAAGAAAGAAAAACACTTGCCACTTTCTACAAGCACAGCCAGATGTTTAGATTGGATTTAGCACTTGATCCACCTAGCGAGTCCTTCAAAAAGATTCGGGATAGAGATATATTGACTAGTAATATTACGTATCATTTATTATATTTTAGTGAATAATATTTTACCAAAACCGATCTTGAGGACAATTCAGATTTTCTCTGCTAGTCGAGACAATCTGCAGCGAAATGAATTTCCCATCAGTGAGTGTTAAGTGCTTCCTTTATTTTTACCTCAGCAATTTATCCTGTGAGCAGACGGAGCAAAACTGAATGAATTCAGTGAATGAGGTGTTTTTTTTTAAAGACATGTTTTTCAAACTAAATAATTCTGTTTCCCTTGACTACCTAGCAGAAGCTTCACTGTTGCTTTAAAGAAAAGTGTATTTTCAGCGTATTCTTACATTTTTATTTCTGCTTCTCAGAAAGAAAAAGAATACAGGTAGTCTTCGACTTAACGACAATTCATTTAGTGACCGTTTGACGTTACAACAGCACTGAAAAAAGTGACTTGTGACCGTTTTTCACACTTAAGACCGTTGGAGGTCCCTTTGGTCAGGTGATCAAAATTCAGACGCTTGGCAACTGACTCGTAGGTGTGACGGTCGCAGTATCCCGGGGTCACACGATCCTCTTTTGCGACCTTCTGACAAACTGGGGAAGCCAGGTTCACTTAACGACCGTGTTGATAGCTTAACAGCTGCTGAGATTCAGTTAAACGCTGTGTCAAGAAAGGTCGTAAAGTGGGGCAAAATCCGCTTAAGAAATGTCTGACTTAGTGACAGAAATGTTGGGCTCAATTGTGGCCATAAGTCGAGGACAGCCTGTACCAACAAAAAGACTCAAAACTAGTTCTAATAGTAAAGCTAAAGGTGCTTTTTTTCTGAGGCAACTGGACTTTCCTGTTTTTCTTTGAAGATGTTTCGCTTTTCATCCAAGAAGCTTCTTCAGCCATGACTGGATGGTGGGGAACAGGACGGATTTATACTCCTTGCAGACTGCTGGTCATTTGCCTCCTTTTAGAGAGTCATTGTGGCCACTTGGAGGTTTACCTCAGTCCTTGAGAAATTGGAGCTGTGCTTTCTGCAGGATGTTTTCCGCCCGGTGTCCCTGCAGAAAGTACATCCTTCTCAATGACTCAGGTGACCCTGAGGTAAACCTCCAGGTGGCCTCAACAACTCTCTAAAAGGAAGCAAATGACCAGCTGTCTGCAAGGAGTATACATCCTTCCATTCCCCACCATCCAGTCAGAGTTGAAGAAGCTTCTTGGATGAGACGCGAAATGTCTTCAAAGAAAAACAAGAAAGTCCAGTTGCCTCAGAAAAAAGCACCCTTGGGACAACCATGACCTGGATGACTGAGAATCTCCACAGACAATAGTAAAGCTAATCCTTTGAATAATAAAGTTGTCTGAACGCTTGCTTTCTCCAGATATGGCAGTACCCTTCCCACCACTTTCTGTTTTGATTTTCCACAGTTGCGGAAAGCCGTGATGGATCACATATCGGACTCGTTCCTCGAGACCAACGTCCCGCTGCTGGTTCTCATCGAAGCAGCCAAGAGCGGCAACGAGAAAGAAGTTAAAGAATATGCCCAAGTGTTCCGTGAACATGCCAACAAGTTGGTGGAGGTAAGTTAGACCCTCCGACATGGCCAGACAATTGGTCCTGTTGGATCCACGGACAACGAACACTCCAGTAAATAAAGGTTTGGTTTTTTTAAAAAACATTTTATTATTAACTCAAGCAAGCAGACTGAAAGGCATGAGGTAACAAAGCACGTATGCCAGGGGTCTTCAAACTTGGCCCTTTGATGACTTGTGGACTTCAACTCCCAGAATTCCTCAGCCAGGCATGTTGGCTGAGGAATTCTGGGAGTTGAAGTCCACAAGTCATCAAAGGGCCAAGTTTGAAGACCCCTGGCATATGCCAAGCAAGATGACACCCAGATCTCTTAGAGCAGGGGTGTCAGACTCGATTTCATTGAGGGCCGCATCAGCACTGTGATTGCCCTTGTGGGGCTGGGGGTGTGTATGGCCAGTTCAACGTCGCTTGTGTCGTGGGGGTGCCTGTGGGGGGGCACATGCGACTTGGGCAGGTGCCCTGGACTGGCCCACCGGAGGAGCTTTGCCATTCCTCTCTTGCCACACCCGGGAGAAGGGGCGGATGGTGGCATGGACCACCAGAGTCCCTGGGTGGCAGTGGGCGCCCAGTCCAGCTCTTGAGCTCCCGGGCTACTGGGACCTGTTGGCCCAACTCTGCTTCCTCAGGCAGCTGCCCAGTGCTTCCTGTGGGCTGGATCGCATGCCTCTTGCGCCTCTGCCTCCACCTGCCACTTGGGCGGTTGATCCAGTGGCCAAGGCACTCAGGCCCACCTGCCCTGTGTAGGCTGCGAGCCCCGGGGTGCGCTGGCCAAAAGGCAGCCAAGGGACCGGCGGACTGTGGCTGCTGCCAGGCACTGCCCCTCTCCACTTCCTGTGCGCCTGGGTGGGGTGGACCCGGGCAGTGGGGGCCGGTCCCTCACTGGCTCTGGGGCAGCCTCGCAGGCTGGATCTGGGCCTATCATGATCCAGTTCCAGCGCATGGGTCTTGAGTTTGATATGTCTGTCTTAGATCCTAGCATGATGTTGTGGTTCCAGTTAATGAAACATTCCAAAGAACTTCCAGGCATTTATTTTCCTAAAAGTCTTTTATTGTTACAAAATGTTGGCACAGGCACAACGGAGGGATGCTAGGATCTAAGTTCTCTTCCTCTGAGCGGTTAAATTATCAGCATGTTCCCTCCCTAAATTAGCCGCCATATCTCACATTATCCAATTAGTGTGAAGGTCAAAGGTTTCCTTCCTCTTTCTTTCCCGGGCTTTACCCCCAACCTCCCTTCTGCTCTGTATTAACCCATAATTACCAGACAATTCTGCATATTGTCAAAAGCAAGAATATACAATATTTGCAGCGTTGACATTAATCTCTTAAAGAAGAAGGGCCTTCTCCGCTGTAGCTCCCTTTGGAACATCATCCCTGCAGAGATTAGATTGCTCCCCTCCCCCCAACTGTTACAGTTGGATTACTGGTATAATTTTTTTTTGGGGGGGGGGGTGGAAAGTAATGAATGAAGGCGAATATACGTGTCCAGGATAATATTTCAGGATCCAATCTGGGTCAATCTCCGGGACCAGTGTTTAGTCTTACAAGGGAAGTTCCCTGTGGATGGACTCCAGCACTAGTCCTAAAGCTTGGAAGGCAAAACATTTGGTCCCAGAGACCATCCCAGATTGGATCTTGTAAAAAACAAAAAGTAATCTTCTCCATAGGTTTCCACATGGGGAAAAGTGAAGGCAATTGACATCTTATGGGTCACGAAAACGCACTAACGACATCGATAACGTATATCCCGTAGCAAAGTTGCAAATTACTATGGTGATGTGCATGGCATCCAATGGCTCCTTCTACCTGCTTAGGAATGTTTTGCGGTTGTTAACAGTGTGTAACTGACAACCCTTGTCGGATCTTGCTTGGTGATAAGCAACTCATTAGACGAAGGCTTTTCAACCAGTGGTACGGGTACCACCTGTGGTACACTGGCACCTGGCAGGTGGTACGCGACCATCCTAGAAAAGGGGTAGCCGGGGAGGGGAATGAGCTGAACCGGTAGCAGCACTGCACAAGCCTGAGCGAGAGATGGCTGGAGCTGCAGGGCTGTCAGGGCTCAGCGGAAGTGCCAGGATCAGCGCCAGGCTCAAGCTGGAGCTGGGCGCTGATCCTGGCGCTTCTGCTGAGCCCTGAAGAAGTGCCGATCAGCTGGAATGTTGCAGTGTCTCCAGGGTCTGGTGATTTGCATTCAGATGCTTGGCAACTGATTCATGTTTATGATGGTCACAGTGTCCCAGGGTCATGTGAAGTGACCAAAATCTGCTGCAACCATCCAGCAGACGGGGGGGAATAAAAACCAAACACTCCCAATCCCCCCCCCCCCCGCTGCCAGTCCTCAACAGAAATGCTTAAACAATGAAAACCTCGGACAGGAGGAAGAGCACCGCTGGGTGGGCAGGCAGGTGTCTTGCTCGGCTGTGGCACTTTTTTCAGTGCCATTGTAACTTCGAACAGTTGTAAGTCAAGGACTACCTGTGCTTCATCACTTTTTTCCTTTTTTGGGGGGGTCATCAAGTTTTTGACACCTTGCTAGGCGACTGGTGGTACTCGGAATTTGCCCTATCCTAAAAGTGGTACAGTGGGTGAAAAGGTTGAAAGGCCCTGCATTAGACAACACAACAGTCTCAGAGATACAATGCCTGGTCTTCTAACCTTTCCATTAGCTAATGGAATGTTTGCAAAAATAAAATACAATAAAGTCAGTATTAGCCTAGTGTACATGCATCTGCATGAAAGACTAGAGACAACATACAAGTGTAGTATGAAACAAAGAGAGGTTGTAAGGATAAACCACCTTGGTGGCCTCTGTGGAAGATGACTCTGGAGGCAGGTTGTTCCACTGGTTAATTGTTCTCACTGACTGGAAATTTCTCCTTAATTCCAGGTTGCTTCTCTTTTTGATCAGTTTCCATCCGTTGCTTCTTGTCCTGCCTTCAGGTGCCTTGGAGAATAGGCATGCATTAGACTTCTTCTAATGTGCAGTGCTGCCTTCTTTCCCCTCCTCCTTTAGCAAGGAGCATTCACCGCTTCTGGAGGCAGGTTGTTCCACTGGTTAATTGTTCTCACTGTCAGGAAGTTTCTCCTTAGTTCTAGATTGCTTCTCTCCTTGATGAGTTTCCATCCGTTGCTTCTTGTCCGGCCTTCAGGCGCTTTGGAGAAGAGCTTGATCATCCACTCGGACTCCAAGGTCCCTCTCACAGGGACTGTTTTTGAGCCAGGTTTCCCCTAATGTGTACTTGTACCTTTGGTTTTTCCGGCCTAGGTGTAAAACTTTGCTTTTCTCCACCTTAAAGTTCACGTCATTGGATAGGCCCATTGTTCAAGTTCACCAAGATCCTTTTGGGTCCTAAGCTTGTCTTCTGGGATGTTGGCTAACTGGATTATAGTGCTGGCGTTATCCTTGAAACAGTCACATCCATCCTTCTCTGGAAGAGCGCTTATTTCATCCAAAAGGAGAAAGCCCTGTGCCTTTTTTCCTCGGGCTGCTTAGGTTGAGGCAGACATCCCTTGGGGACGTTGTGGGTCTTTGTGGCGCCATCTGTTTTGTTTTGTTTTTCTTCTCACAAGGCTTCTGGAGAGGTCTGAAAGAATCCGTGGCTTGTAGCAAGCCCTTGTGGGTGGCACGTAGAAAGAGGCCTGTATTTTAGTGTGATTAAAATTTGATCTACTGCAGCGAATCAATACAATCACCGTGCATTTGCAGCCGATCTCGTTAAGGAAGAAGGCTCCCACTTCTGCTTTATGGTCTCTGTTTCCCCTGGACTTACAAGAGTCCCTGGGTGAGTCTCCTCCTGTTTATTCAGATGTCGTTTTAGCCATAGATTACTTATGGTTTTTTCCAAGGAAGGAGAAATTGTGTCTTCCTCTTCCTTTTCCTCTTCTTCCTTCTCTTCCTCTTCCTCCCCTTCCTCCTCCCCTTCCTCCTCTTCTTCCTCCTTTGCCTCTCTTCTCCTTTTCCTCCTTCTTTCCCCTCTTCCTTTTTCCTCTTCCTCCTTCTTTCCTCTCCTCCTCCTCTTCTTCCTCCTTTTCCTCCTCCACCTCTTCCTTCTCTTCCTCTTCCTCTTCCTCCTCTTCTTCCTCCTTCTCCTCACTTCTCCTCGTTTTCCTTCTTCTTTCCCCTCCTCTTCCTTTTTCCTCTTCTTCTCCCTCCTCTTCCTCTTCCACTTTTCCTCCTCCTCCTCTTCCTCCTCCACCTCTTCCTCCTCCTCTTCTTCCTCCTTCTCCTCACTTCTCCTCCTTTTACTCCTCCTGCTTCCCCTCCTCTTCCTTTTTCCTCTTCTTCCTCCTCCTCTCCCTCCTCTTCCTCTTCCACTTTTTCCTCCTCCACCTCTTCCTTCTCTTCTTCCTCCTTCTCCTCACTTTTCCTCCTTTTCCTCCTTCTTTCCCCTCCTCTTCCTTTTTCCTCTTCCTCCTTCTTTCCCCTCCTCCTCCTCTTCCTCCTTTTCCTATTCCTACTCCTTTTCCTCCTCCTGCTTCCCCTCCTCTTCCTTTTTCCTCTTCTTCCTCCTCCTCTCCCTTCTCTTCCTCTTCCACTTTTTCTTCCTCCTCCTCCTCCACCTCTTCCTTCTCTTCTTCCTCTTCCTCTCTTCTCCTTTTCCTCCTTCTTTCCCTTCCTTTTTCCTCTTCCTCCTTCTTTCCCCTCTTCCTCCTTTCCGTACTCCTATTCCTTTTCCTCTGCCTTCTTCCCCTTCTCTTCCTTTTTCCTCTTCCTCCTTCTTTCCCCTCCTCCTCCTCCTTTTCCTCCTTCTCTTCCCCCTCCCTTTTTCCTCTTCCTCCTTCTTTCCCCTCCTCTTCCTCCTCTTCCTCCTTCTCTTCCCCCTCCTTTTTTCCTCTTCCTCCTTCTTTCCCCTCCTCTTCCTCCTCTTCCTCCTTCTCTTCCCCCTCCTTTCTCCTTTTCCTCCTTCTTCCCCTCCTCTTCCTTTTTCCTCTTCCTCCTTCTTTCCCCCCCTCCTCCTCTTTTTCCTCCTTCTCTTCCCCTCCT